ATCAGCTATTTAACCTAATTTTCGTTAGAAAGTTAACTATTATCACTGAGGTCAAGGGTTTTTAAATAGGGCACTAAAAAAGTAGACCGATAGAGACAGCAAACAACGACATATTTCTTCCACTCTTTTGAAATTTCTCTTTAATAAAGTTAACCATTTCGACGTGGAAAGGTATACGATCCCAATGAGTTGGGATATTAATGAAACTCTTTATTCTTGGGAAAGTACATTTGATGCCATTATGAAACAATTTCTCTTGCATTTTTAACAGAAATGTAAGGCATGGCACCGAAAAAAAATATATATATATAGACCTAAGTGCCAATGGCTAACTATTAGTGAACATTTTTATTTGATATATGTAATATACATGCTTATATACATATATGCTTTCCGCGTGCACAATAGCCTGTGATTATAAAACCAAAAACTTCAATACAACAAACTCACAGCTTTAGATAGAAGCTGACATTCAGCGTTGTTTATTAAAATCACAGCGAAAAGGAAATGCAGTTTGCAATCTGGACATTGTGTTAACACAGTCAGCATCTGCTACAGTAGCTACTTGCAACGGCAGATACAAGCCAACTGATGCAACCGCAAATGTTTGCCACCATTGTCAAGCAAGTGGTGAGCTGACAGCGCACAGAAGCTTCTCAGCGCGATCAAAAATGCCCAAGAGCGTCTCAGAGGCCGATCAAGCGTTGATATGGCGAACGGCGGCGGAGTAAACTTTCAACGGTCGCAAGGGTTGCCGCAGTATGGTGGCACTTCAAAAGGCAAAATCGGGCACTACTGTCATCATATACACACTTACACATCCACATATATAATACATATACATATACATATTATATRGTATATGTTAATATGCATTCATATCAGCGCCGCAGCATCAGCGCATAATTTTTATATGGCGGGAAGTATTTTGTTAAAATTATACGATCGTAAAATGTTGCAGTAAGTGCAAAATGAACGAATTTTATGTCAAAATAAAGGAGTATAAAAGGTATGCAGCACGATGAGGGGCAAGAAGATTACACAGGTTACCGCCTACCATGCAAGTATGAACAGCGTAAAAGCAGCTTCCGAAAAAATGGCCGCAGGAGTAATTATGCAAAATATTTAAATGCCAAAAAGAAATAAAAATTTGCGCATAAAGGAAAATGCTAAGCAAGCGAACTCAATATATAAACATTTGCCACTATATTTATATATGGTACATGTAAGTTTCGATTGCACTCTTTAGCAGACTGCCGAAGCATATAATTAAGCGAAATTTTTTGAGAGCGTCGAAAATTTTTATAGCGTCACTAAAAAATAAAATGTTCAAAATATTTGATCGAAAGCTGTCGATTTTGTTGTGCACTAGATTCGGTGCGCAGACAATGAAATATGTTACGCATTAGGGCGTAGCCAATTCTTGCCGAAAGGCTTTTGAGCTCAGCGCTACGTAACGCCTTCGATATTTCGGCACAAGTCAAATCAATGAGAGGCAAACCAAGTGCTGACTGCTAACGAATGTTCCCTTGAAATGCATAATTAGCGGCTTGAGGCTGGCAACTGGCTAGACTGTTGGACAATATCGTTATAATGGCTGTAATTATTATTATCTTGCAACTTTTTCTACTTTTTATGAATATTCATGCGAAATATATTTTAATTTTTTATAACTTTGAGTATCAATATATAAAATGGAAAAATTTTAGAATTTTTGAAGTTAGCATATTCGCATATTAAAAGTCGTAAGGCTTAATGCTACAAAATGAATCCTCGAGCATATTCTGTTTTCGGCCCACTCCAATTAACGAAAAGCAAAAGTTTAGGGTTTAATTCGGGTAAAAAACTCCCTTGTTCTAAAATTGTTTTCTCATATAAATAAATAAAATATATTATTTCCTTCCTCCAAGTCTTTGAGAAATGTATCTCAAAGACCTGTGTAAATGAAAATCGATTGAGAAGTTCTCGAGAAATCTTGCCAACCGACTTCAGAAACACAGTTTCGAGCAAAGCACGCTTATAGTCGGCGGACTTAGCCTTGCTAGCTTCGAGCGCACGAGTTATCAAGGTTGTACCTCCGAAACTATTACTCGGATCAACGTGAAAAAGTTTAGGACAATATTCTAGAGGTATTGTAGAACTTAGTAAGGCAATAAAAAAATTTATTTAAACCCGTAAACCCATGTAACCCCTTAACTAAACCCCTTACTAAAAATCTTCTTTCCGAAAATAGTTGCCTTTTGGTATATTTACTATCCATACCACCTCAAAGTAGTTTTGTGAAAACGCCATATGTTGGCGGTGATTCAAGACTTGATTTGTTTATCTAACGTATATTATTTCAAGGAACCATTGAAGGACGATTTCTTTTTTTGGTTTCCTTCCTTTCATTGGAGCTGCTTTGCCTTCTCACTTTAGCTCGCCTTGGATACTTGGTCTAGAAGCGGAAGCCGTGTGTTGCTGGAGCCAGATCTAACATAATTGTTTCTGGCCATACCCAAATAAATGGCGATCAGAGAACTTTCCTCGTTTGCGTGAACTTCTATACAATACTCCAGCCTCTACCGGCAAGTTTTGGGGCAGCTAAAAATAGTTACATTATTGGCCACCCATCAGAGTAGGTCAGTTCTTTGATTTTTCATTTAGAGTATCATATGTGTGTTACTATGCTGGTAAATGGTTTCCTGAGCCGCGTTTGTAATGTTACATATTGTAATACGGATACCATATATCTGTCAACGGTTCGAAAACCTACTGTTTGCCTTCTTGTATAACTTTAAATTACAAGATACATATATAATAGACTTAATATTTGATGCTACGTTCTATGTGGCTACTTTAAACTTTAGCTTATCGGTGAAAATATAGACTTAACCGTTGGTTCTGTCGACAACTGTGCTATTGGTCCATTCTACGCAAAGGCAGTAATAATTCAATAGCTTTTGTTTATAAAGCTTACTATCCTGAATTTACTTAAAAATAGTATAAGAGTTTGACTGCCAATGCTTACTTATAAATTACAAAGCACCCCTACCGACTCAAGACATCGCTTTACCAAGATTTCAAAATGTTTCTAGTTTTATATAGCAGTCAGATCTGTCTTCGATTATTCTATTATTTGCTGTCAACTACTTCAGTATTCCTCGGAGTAGTTTTTTGAGTCTATCCAACAAAAAATATTTGTAAGGAGACATACTCGTATCAGAATAGTGCTGTGGTTTCTGAATAGCACGAGTTGTGCTCAAATACAAAGAAAATTTCAATTTTTTAGAAAAAAATATTTATTCCTTTGTCTACAGTAATGATCTCTATCTTATAAAATAATTGCCGTTTAAGGTTTTTTTTTATTTGTTTTTGGTCAAGAACTCACGAAAAATTTTTTTTATAAATTTTTTTAGCTGAGTCAATTTAGTAATGTCAGTTTGTTTGTTCCCCGTATATGAACTAGTCCCTAAATTTGTGAGAAATCGATCTGAGACTTTACACATATCCGTTTCTTCCCAAGAAGTTGCTGATTCCCACTATTCACCATAGCACATAGCTGCCATGCAAACGGAGCGATCAAATTTAATATTTTAATAATAAATTAATAATATAAATTTTAAGATAAGATAATCTTTTTATATCCTTTATGCTATATAAATGAACCTGTAAAGGTTATAACAGCTTCGGTGAATCCAAAGTTAAAGTTTTTTTTTTGTTTCATCAATATTTTAATGAGGCATTGGGCGTTGTTGCTTACAATATTATAATTTGAAGCTGTCTCCCGTCAGGGTCATTACATTGGGTCCCGGAAGAACCCAATCAACGAAGGGATGAAAGCAAAAGTGAAGTAGAAGGCGGCGGTCGGAATGTGCGACCATCTCGAAGTAAGTTCGGAGTTAAAATTTTGAAATGTTAATACGACTCGTCGCTAACATGGGCAAGGCAAGCTTCAGAACGCTTTCAAACCTGTGGAAAGATGCGAAACGATTTTGACCTAATTTAAAGCCAATATTTTTTTGATTTTTTCTTGCTCTCCAAACTGAAATTGCCGCTCCGTAAAACCCGTTTTCAGTTGATCAAAGAAGGCCATCCGAAAAAGTGCTTATGAAAAATGCTTTGAGAATTGATATTGATAAATAATTAAATATTTTGCGTTTTATTTACAATTTCCGCGTAATTTTCACAACTGATGTATGTATTATAAGTACATTTCTGCTTGATAGAGCATCATCGTCGAAATATAAACTAAATTTCATTATGAAAACTAATTTTGAGCCAAATATTTTTGCATCGAACTAAGCGAGTGAAATTTAGTAAGGAACTGTTAGTATCTCATATGAAAAACTCTATTTACATAAGAAGTTCTATTGAATAAGTTAGAATAAATTACTCAATAAATAACTACACATTTTTCTAATCAAAATCTCAAGCCATTCCCACACTTCTCACACAAAAATAGTGACATCAAGCGCCCATTTTGTTGCTCGATTAGTCGATATCTTCGAAGCTGATTATCTATACGAAAAATCTCTACACAAGCACTACACAACAACATTACGGATACATATCCAGCCACAGCAGGAGTGTACCATGAGGTGTCTGAAATGCGAGTTATGATGACGCTTTTAATTAACACGCATAAGTAATGTAAACTTGTTGTACAACGAATCGGCTGCACACAACCAATAACCGATCACTAGTTTAATGCAACGATTCGTAAAGCGATAATCGTAATTTAGCGGCTTATCAGCGTGGAAGCCATTTTATCGTGTTTACATTCGTTTTTCACTTTTACAGGTTTTCAAGTTGACATTAATTTTACATATTTACAAAAACTAGATTTCGAATGACTCTTTTTCTTCCAAATAAATAAAGAGTTAACTGTAATTTGTGATTTAACCGTTTGTCTTACAAATTTTCCATTTGTTCAACCATCAAAACGTTACACTAATTTGTATTTTTAAATAACTATTTGTTAACCATATTTAATGAGTTACTTTATGCGTTTCTTCCAGCTGTTGTCCGCCAATCTCACGCAGTCACCGCAAACGGGCGACTCACCAAACACACCCAACACCGCAGCAATGGCCGGCTCTGGCGGTGCCAATGCGCCTGCGCTCAGTCCTACGAATGTCGGTGAGTGTCGTGTGAATAGCGGCGCAGGCGGTTCTGCGGATGTGCCCAGTGGTGCAATGAGTCCGGATGGGCTTTCGCAAAACTCCAACAACACAACTGGCGGTGCTGGTGGCTTAAATAATCCTGCTAGCGGTGGCGCACTCGATGGCAGTGTTGGCGGTGTTACTGCTGCCGGTTTGGGCGTTATTGGTCCCGGTGGTGCTGGTGGTGGCTCTTGCTGCGAGAACGGACGTCCCATTATGACAGACCCGGTATCGGGTCAAACCGTATGTTCGTGTCAATATGACTCGGCGCGTTTGGCGCTCTCCAGCTACTCGCGCTTGCCAGCGGCCAGCGTTGGCGTTTATGGCACACCCTATCCGTCGACGGATCAAAATCCCTATCAGAGTATTGGTGTGGACAGTTCAGCCTTCTATTCGCCTTTGGTAAGTAGAAAATTAGTGAAAATTGTCCGCATCCTGGCATTTGCTTGAAGTTCCCGAAGGCACAAGCGTTTGCCATTTCGTCGTCGCTTGTTGTAGGCACACTTTAAAATTGTAACGCGCTGTTTTGTCGCTTATAAATGCTGTTATATTGTTCTTAACTTTGTTGTGGTTGTCCTTTCATGTATTATAATTGTTTTTTTGTTACAACAATGGCCGACAACATGCAAACTTGTTTATGCATATGTAGAACAGCACAATAAAGCAGTAACAATAACAACTAAGTGTAGTACAACAACTACAATAACAATAACAACAAAGTGTACATATGTAGTATAACGACTACAATAACAATAACAACAGCGCTGTAAACAATTACCACCGACGTTGCCGTTCTGAGTTGCGCCTTCGTCGTCTTCGACTTCTTCGCGTCTGTTGCCTTTTGACTTTGGCAGCGTTTCTGCCACTTCTGTTGCTGTTGTTGTTTTAATTGTTGTTAATGTGGCGCTTTACTTCTGAAGGCTCAAAAGCTAAAATGTGCATGCAAGCGCTTAGCATTTGAATTAATGTTGTTGGATGTATTGATACACTCAGAAAAAAAGTTTGTTAAAATTATTAACTCTAAAAAACTAACATTAAACTCGGTTGCCCTAAAGCTGTAATATCCGTGACAAATGAAATGTTTTCCATACAAGCACTTAATTTTGACCGGCTAGTTTGTACGACTGCTATAAGCTATAGTGCTCCGATCTGAATCATTTGTTCGGAGTTTGTAGCATTGCCTTAAACAATAAGCCTTGAAAAAATTCATGGAGACATATTACCAAGTAAAAAAGTTTTCCATACAAGAACTCGTTTTTGATAGTTCGGTTTGTATGGCAGCTATATATTATAGTGGTTCGACATTGGCGATTCCGTTAAATAATTAGTCTCCTGGAAAGTAAAGGACATGTGCTAACTTCCAGACAGATAACTCAAAAACTCAAGGACTAGATCGCGTATTTACAGGCAGACCGATAGACATGGCTAAATCGACTCTTTTATGTATAGTATATATTTTCCACGGTCTTCGAAGCTAAGCGAATCCGACTAATACCTCATGCACTGAAACTTCCTAATAAAAAAATTTCTCTCAGTGCACAATTGTGGCAGCAACTGATTTGCACATCGCCATGTTGCAGGCAATGTCATTAGAGGAAGCGGCAAGTTGTTGCCACTCGTAAATAACAGCCATTGTGGAGAGCGCCACAGTCAAAGCGACAAGCAAGCCAACCAAATAACTGCCCGGGCAGGCCATACTTCTTTTCTGTGGCTTCCTTGTGGCAGCCATGTGACTACTCCTGCACTTGTGAGTAGCAGCAAGACTAGGTACACTTACTCCACTCCAGGGTACACTTTATGGCTAACCAATTTCACCTCAGCTTGCCGCACACAGCACTTTGTTTGTTGGCTGCTGGTTGCAACGCTGCGTGTCTCGTTGTGTCGCTGCTGCTTCCACTGTTCGTCTGCTTGTCAATATCATGTCGACCAAATCGAATTATCATTATGGCTGGCTGAAGTTCAGTTCACTCGGCGCATTTAAACGGTCGACCGCTCGCTCGGCCGTTTGCTTGGTCGCTCATCGGCTTGGGAGTCTTTTAGGGTGTCGAGCGTTGTACGAACGTGAACGTTTATTGACCGCACTGCTTGCTGCACTTTTATTGTTGTTATTATTATATTTTGCATTTGCTGCTCGTCTTTGCCACACTGGCTCTGTGGCACACACACACTTACGCTTTGCTCAGCGCCAATCCAAGTTTTCAACGCTGAAATTCGATACTTTATCGCAACGATTGAGCAAAGCAAAATGATATCATTGCAAAGGGTTGAGCAGCCGACAAGCGAGCATGGGTGCATGGGCTGAATGTAGAGTCAAAAGTCAGTGGCAAGTACTGGCGTTGTTTGCGCCCCGTTGCCGTTAGGCCTACACTTCGAAGGGGCAGACGAAGAAGAGATGAATGTGAAAAAGAGGAAGAGTGAAATGATGGCCTCTGGCCCGTAATTGTGTGCAAAGAGCGTATACAAGTGACTGCACTGACAACTGCAACAACAACAACCATAGCGTAATACAAAGCAAAGACAATCACCATAACAAAATTAAAAGCAACAAAGCGCAATGACAACAGTCAACAAATATAATGTCCGTGCAACACCTTAACAAATATTGGCAACGACAATAACAACAACCAGCCAGCCAGCCAGCAACAAATCACGTTGGTCAGGGGTCAGCGACAGTTGGTGGGTTGATGGGCATACAAATACCGCTATATCCGTACAAACTTAACGACATTTTGCCAATCATGTGGCACATACACATAAAATCCAAATTAATAATGAAATGCACCGTTTGAGAATAAGTGGCAGGATGGGGTTATATGGAACTTTGAAGTTCAGCCAGCGTTATTCTTACTCGCTTGTCACTTTCCATTTGTGTTTGTGTGTGTGTGTGCTTGTCTGCTCGTTTGTTTTCATTGTTTTGCATTTCATTTCAATTTTTGTTTTGCCATTTCATTGCTTGCTCTCGTTCGGCCATTTAGTTCGTGTGACGTGAAAATTCGATTTTACTTAAACATGAGCAGCAACATATGTAAGTGCAACTGCGACATTTGTGCAACCATACAGATAATATGTTTTGTATTGAAACATTGTATGTGATTGAGCAAAGAAGCGACTTATTATTCAAGCGACAACTTTTTCAAGGCAGCAAACGATAAACAAATTGACAACCCGTAGAATATTGCATATTGTTGTTGTATGGTAATATATGACTATATGCGTGCATAGTGATGGCGGAAAATGGTTTGCAAATATGAATTTGTACATGTACTTGTAAATACCATATGGTATGACACAATGTGATTAGTAGCACTGCAGATATACGACGTCAACGACATCTATTTACAAAATACGAAAAGACTTTTTCGACTACCCAATATATTGATTTAATTAGTTGGACCGAAGCAAGAACACCCTTCACCAACAAAAAAAAAAAAAAAAAAAAAAAAAAAAAAAAAAAAAAAAAAAAAAAAAAAAAAAAAAAAAAAAAAAAAAAAAAAGAAAAAGGCGATCGGTTTGTATGGCGGGTATATGCTATAGTAATAAGATCTGAAACATTTCTTGAAGATTGTATCGTTTCCTTAAAAAATAAACAATGCAAATTTCTTTAAGATATCTCGTCAAATGAAAAAGCTTTTCATATAAGCATATTATTGCGATGCTATGCTAACCGGTGATGCAAATAGATGTAGATGTTTTACATTAGCCATTTTTTGACAGATCACGTATTGGTCGTTTCAATATTTTTTCAGTACTGCTTGGCATTTTATCATAGAAAGTATTACGCCTGACCAACATTTACAAATCTTTCAACTTTAATACATAAATTCAGGTTCCGTAAAGATTATGTTTTGCACGCGTTGCTCAACTTACGGTCAAAATAATCAGCCTACTGAGTGTACTATTCGCAACACCACCATCCATCTTGAGATTCAGCATCCATTATTGGATTAGATTCGACCGAATAGATCACGTCCAGCACGAAGTGAAGAAAATATAGCAGCCTTAGCTGACAGTGTATATGAAGACCGAACGTGGACTGATGTATGGAATGACTTGGCGTATTTTACGTCGAGATCTTAAATTGAAAGCCTACAAAATACTGCTTGTGCAAGAACTGAAGCCGCTTGACGTTCCGAAGCGACGTTGCTTCGCTCTATGGGTTGTTGAAATGTTCCAAGAAAATCCGATGTTTTCGTGCCAAATTTTGTTCAGCGATGAGATCCATTACCGGCTCAACGGGTATGTAAACAAGTAAAATTGGTGCATTTGGAATGAAGAATAACCTGAAAGGGTTCAAGAGCTGTCATTTCATGTAGAAAAAACAAGGGTTGGTTTGGGTGTGGACCGGTAAAATCAACGGTTCATATTTCTTCAAAAATGATGCCGGTGAGAACGTAACCGTCGATGGCGACCTTTATCGGGCCATGATATTTCGACTATTTGATACCTGAAATTGCAGTTCGCGACATTTTGTTGCAACATGACGGCACCACTTTCCACATATCGATTCAATCAATGGATTTATTGAGAGAGCACTTCGGTGAGCAGAATATTTCACATTTTGTGCCGGTCGATTGACCGCCAAGATCGTTTGATATCACCGTTATACTTTTAGAAAATTACAGATTGGTATCTCAAAAACTGAGAGTGAACTCTATATCGACTCAGCTCGTGATGCTGAACACTGACATACATACATGTATATATTTATTTTGTTGGATCTCCGACTTTTCCCTCAAGGGGCCAAAAACTTCGTGGAAAAATTAATATACCTTATTCAGGGTATTTCAGCTTTTTTCGAATCACCGCTCTGATGTGAACCATTCTCCAATGAGAGCTTTCTGCATCGATCGGAAAAACTGGTAGCAAGATGGTGCGGCTGTAAGGTGGCTGAAGCAAAACTTCCTAATCACTGTTTTCCAAATAGTTTTTAACCCATATTGCAACATAGAACCGAGTGTACAAATAACTAATCGTTGGCGGAGCATTCCGCGCTAATCGTTTCAAATGGCTTTAGATTTTATGTTTGGATTTGCCGTTGTTAACTTTGTTTCACATATACTGAATTGTTCGCATTTACGGTCGTCGTATTTGATGACCAATCAAAACGTACTTTAGATTCAATTCAAATGGTATGCTATCGAGTACATCAGTCTACTTTTGAACATTTTGAAATGGCTGCATGAGTGATTGCCAAAAATGGGCGAAGTTTTCTTGAGTTTGGTAATGCTTCCATTTCCTCAGATACAAACTTTTTTGGTCGCTCAGGACGTTCTTCGGCTTCCAAGACAAAAGGTCATAAATCTTAAGCAGAAACTTTTCTCTCGAAAAACCGTAATATCGACTCAACAGATGTTGTATTGGTCCATGCCTCTGCACTATATAGCAGGACGAGAGAGAACTTT